GCCCAGAAGGGCCTGGAGTAGACTTGGGAGTGGTCCCTGCCTCGGTGGGGGTTGGGCAGTGAGCATCTGTTCCTGGGTATTAAAATAAATCGAGGTAAATTGGGATCCTGCTGGAGGCTGACTGTGAGGGGGTGTGGAGGAGGGTGGGTGGCCCCTCCATCTGCCTCGGATCTTAGGAGTCATCTGCCGAGTCGCAGTGGGGACCAGAAGGCGGTTCTGGATGGACCTGTCTCTGGTGACCTTGGGCAAGTGGCAGCCCTTTCCTGAGCCCCAGTTTTCTCCTTTGAAAATGGGGCGGGGGGCTTCAGAGCCTGTATTCTATAAATTCTGACGCCTCCCCCGCCCCCCATCTTTTGCCAGATCTTGATCCCTTTTGCTTAAGATATTGGTGGTTTGGGAGTGAGAGAGCAATGGGTTTGAAGACACACGTACCCCTACCCCTGACATGCCTTGCTGGCCTCTGAGCCTCAGTTTACTGCACTGCAAAATGGGTTGATGGTCACACTGTGGCATTGCTGGAAGGGCTCCTCTGCCATGCAGTACATTATATCACCAGGCTGCAATCACTGGAACAGGAGCTCCACCATCCAGGTTTCACCAGCAGGACCGCCCAGGGCACACCCTGACCCACATACCATCACCCACACCAGGGGCAAGACAGTGCCTGGGCAGGATCCTGGGCAGGAGGAGGTGCCGGGCCTGCCTGTCCCCTTTTCCTTGAAGCTCTGTGCCTGTATGGACATAGGGGTGAGCACTGGGCTAGGAGTCTGATGCCCCCAGGTTCAAATCTGGTTCTTCTGTACATGGCTTTGGCCCTCTGCACCTCGGTGTGTTTTTCTGTGAAATGGGCTGAATCCCTCTTGGAAGATCAAAGGAGACTGTGGGAGGATGGGAGTGCTGTAAATATAGACATGGTCATTATAACACTAATTGCGCTATTACCGATCATAAATGGGGTCACAGCTGACCAGGAGTGGAGAGAAGAGAAGGGAGTCTGCAGGGATGTCGCCTGCTGTGTCTCCAGCCTGGAGTCAGGTGGAGTTGGGGGCTCAGTGTTTGCTCAAAAAGGTGATGAAGAGGGGGGGGCATCAGTGGGGAGGACTGAAAAATTCCTGTGTGAGCTCAGATGCCCACTCAGTGGCCCAATCGCTGTGTAACATGGGCCTGTGCCTCCGTTTCCCCATTTGGGGTGATGGCCTGGGTGAGATACCCTCTCTGATGCGATTGTGGGAATGAAGCCGGAGTGTGTAAGTGGCCACAGCTCTGATGGCCGAGCCTGCAGGGAGGAAGCCCGTGACAGCTGGCCATCGACACAGCATGGCCGCGAGGTGGACACCGAAAAGGAGAGAAAACCCCTCAACTGGCCCTACTGTGAGCAAACGCACTGAGGGGAACAACACGGCAGATCCTGTTTCACAAAACTCAGGAAACCCAGAGAGGTCAGGGGCATCCCAAGGTCACCCAGCCGGAGGCCAGCAGCCAACGTCTGACCTTATTTGCTGACTGGGCTCCTACCTGGGCCTGTCCTCACCCCCAGGCCAGGCACAGAGCCCCAGGCTTGGGCGAGTTGGTGCTAGGGAGGCAGGATTCATCTCCAGGAGGTGCCAGGGCTCGTGTCAGACATCCCCAGGGAGGACTCTGTTCCCTGCTTCTAGCAGCCAGAAGCTGGGGGGCATCCCGGTCAGCTGACTACCTGCTGTTTGACCTTGGGCAAGTCCCTGCCTATCTCTGGGTTTTGCAGGGGCATTACCGAGGCCAGGAGACAGATGCCGTGACCACCGTGTCCCCCTCTGGTGTATTACTTTCAGGGGCCCCTGAAGATGTTTTAACTTCTTTTAAAATCAGAAGGGGAAAAAATAAGCTGTGGGATCAAAGAAAACATTTAAATATATGATATTAATATATTTGTCTTTATGCCAGTGTAGCTGTAAAATATAGTACAAATTACTTTCTTTCTTTAAAAAATTTTTTTTTTTAATTTCAGAGAGGAGGGGAAAGGGAGAGAGAGATAGAAACATCAATGACGAGTGATAATCACTGATGGGCCACCCACTGCGTGACCCCTAGGGGTTGGGCCCACAACCTGGGCATGTGCCCTGACTGGGAATCGAACCATGATCGCCTGGTTTATAGGTGAATGCTCAACCACTGAGCCACGCTGGCTGGGCTACATTATTTTCTGAATGGAGCCTGGGGCCCAGGGAGGCAAGATTGCCCCAAGCCTGTGAACGTCCTAATGAGACCCTGGGTTGAGTCTCACTCAGCACTGCCATTCGTTAGCTGTGCAAGTTCGGACACGTGGGCTGCCCTCTCTGAGCCTCGGTTTCTCCATCTGTGAGCAGGCGTCACTGGCCCACCTCGGGACGGTGAGCTGTGGAATGCTTAGCCCAGGATCGGTACTCACTTTGTGGGTTCTGTTATTTCACAACCGTCATGATTACGGTTTGTTGGTTAATAGCCCTAGGCTGAGGGCTGTAGATCCAGGGGCCTCCGTTTACCGATCTGTGGCCTGCTCCGGTCCAGAGAGGTCCCAGGGGTGCTGCTCTGGGAGGGGAAGGTGAGGTGGCAGTTGGGCGGCGGGCGGGGCGGGTGCGCTTCCTGTCCCCCACACCCACGGCCTGGGCTTGGCGGAAGTGACAGGGGCTGCGTGTGTCTGGTGCCTGCCCTGTCTGACTGGAGCCAGGCCCCTCTGGCTGCGCTGTTCGGTGAGTCTGAGCCCCGCCGGAGGCCCCGCGACCCGTCTTTGCCCCCCTCAGGGACAGAAAGGGCACCCCTCTGCCTCCTGGGTTTCAGAAACAGCGGGTGTCACTTCCTGGGCCTGGCCGAGCCTGCGGGCTGCCTCCTGTTACTGTTCCGAGTGCTGTGGTGGGTGGCCGGGCAGTAGAGTGGACGTGGAGGCCCAGAGCCACCCGTGATGCTTCTGAACAGGAGCCCTTGGCAGACAGGCCACGGACAAATCACAGTGACCTGGGGACAGCGAGTGACCGCTCTGTGCCTCGATTTCCTCCCGTGTCGCGCTGGGATTGCTCCCCCCGTGTGGTTGCGAAGGTTGAATGAACTGGGACCTGTGAGAGTTGAGCACAGCACCACGCACACACTGGCACTCACTGCAGGGGGAGGAATCTAATCGGAGTTGGCAAAACAGTATCGCGATTTTTGGTTTCTGTGGAACTTGGGGCTGGTGGCTCCCGGGATCCTCGAAAACAGCACTCACGGACATCTCTATCTGTGCCGCCCTACATGGCTGCTGCCAGCCTGTGTGGCTGCGGAGCCCTGGGAGCAAGGCTGGCACAAATGAGGGGATTCATGTAAAAGTTACTTAGTTTAAAATTAAGTGGCTAGCCCTGGCCGGTGTGCTCAGTGGTTTGAGCGTTGGCCTGCACACCACAGGGCCTTGGGTTTGATCCGGGTCAGGAGCATATACCTGGGTTGTAGGTTCTATCCCAGCCCATTGGGGCATGTGCTAGAGGCAACCAATTCCTCGGGTAAGGATTAACAACAGCAACAACAAAAGTAAAATGAAGTGGCTACAGCCCTGGCTGGTATGGCTCAGTTGGTTAGAGCATTGTCCTGTACACCAAAGGGTCGTAGGTTCGATTCCTGGTCAGGGCACATACCCAAGTGGGTCAGAGCATGTAATGCATGGGAGGCAACTGATCAATGTTTCTCTCTCACGTCGGTGTTTCTCTCTCTCTCCCTCTCCGTCCCACTCTCTCTAGAATCAATGAAAAACACATCCTCTGGTAAGGATTAAAAATAAAAAATAAAAAAGCTGCTACATGAGGCTAGTGGTTCCTACGTTGGTCAGCCTAGCTCTAAGGGATTTAGAGATGCTCAGAGTCTAGATCATGGCCAGAAACTAAGAAATGAGATAGACATTGAAGGCTTTTCCTTTTAGGGATGTCAGCCTAGCGTGACAGGCTGGGTTCCTCAGGGGCTGCACTGGGCACGGAAGGTTTTCAAAAGTCCCAGCATCACCAGATCACCAGGGTGGAGGTTGGGAATGTTTGTTGAATGGTCCCAGCATCACCAGATCACCAGGGTGGAGGTTGGGAATGTGTGTTGAATGAGGGGTGTGTGTGTGTGTGTGTGTGTGTGTGTGTGTGTGTGTGTGTGTGTGCCTGGACTCCTTTTCATGCTTTAAAACCCCAGCACCTGCCCAGCTGATGTGACTCGGGTTGAGCATTGAGCTATAAAACAGGAGGTCATCGTTGGATTCTGGTCAAGGGCATATGCCCTGGTGGCGGGCTTGGTCCCCAGGAAGGGACACGCAGGAGGCAGCCGATCAATGATTCTCTCTCATGATTGATGTTTCTATCTCTCTCTCCCTCTCCCTTCCTCTCTGAGATCAATAAAAATATATTTAAAAAAAAAAAAAACCCAACACCCATGCCTCCCTTCTGCATCCAGGCTTCCCCAGTTCTTGTTTCTCCATTTGGCCCAGCCGTGGCCCTGCAGGACCAGGTGTCTGTAACCAGTCTGTTCCCCTAGACTGGGGGGCTCCTCGGGGAGCAGGCCCAGGGCTGAATCATCTCACAGATCCTGGTATTGTCCTGGCCATGTGGGCACATGGTGCGTGCTGGGTGAAGTCAGGGGGCTGGGGCTAGATGATAATGGATCAAGCTAAACTCACTTTCAAGATTAGGTAAACTGAGGTCCAGCAAGGGGCAGCCTTGTCCAAGGTCCTTGCTCAGTCCTTTCCTGGCAAGGCCCAGGGAGCTTTCCGATCCTGCGGCCACCAGCCCTGTCCCTGTTGCCACTGTGCGTCCTGGGCTCCCAGCTGCTGCTGAGCTGCCTTCGGAGTCATGAATTATGAATGGGGCAGCAGGCTCCAGTGACAAGCCCGGCCTGGAGAACATGCCAAGGACACCAAGTGTCCCTCCGTCGCCAGGTGGCCTGACCCACCCCCTCCCTCTTCAGGGAGACCTGGGGTCCCCCCAGCAAGACCC